CCATGGGAGGATTCCGTTACTTTCTCTTGTTTGTGGATGATTATACACGATATTCTTGGATATATTTGATGAGATCACGTGATGAGGTTCCTAACTTGGTATGACAGTTCCACCAAATGATTCTCACGCAATTTGGAGTGAGAACTAAGGCTTTTAGATCAGATAATGCCAGAGAGTACTTTGAGAAGGACCTGACCACGTATCTCTTAGAACATGGTGTAATTCATCAGAGCAGTAGTGCATATACACCGCAACAGAATGGAGATGCTGAGAAGAAAAACAGACACTGTGGAGGTGGCAAGGAATCTTATGGTGTGTGCTTCAGTTCTTGTGCAGCTCTTACAGTCGTACATTTGATTAACCGTGTTCCTTCACGGACTTTGGGGTTTAAGGTGCCATTTAGTCTTCTTTTTCCAGATGGGGAGATATTTCATATACCTCTGAGGGTTTTTGGTTGTGTTTCCTTTGTTCACATTCTTGGCCCTCATCGCAAGAAATTGGATCCTAAGGCCAAGAAATGTGTTTTTCTTGGGTTTGCTCAAAACCAAAAGGGGTATTGCTGTAATCACCCAGTGTCGAGGAGYAGATTTGTCACTATGGATGTTACCTTCTTTGAATCCACCTTCTTCTTCTCGAGTGGTTCTCCTCAGAGGGAGAGTTTGRGGAGGAGAACTCACAATTTGTTCCTCTTCCTGTTTCTTTGGTGCCTCCATCAGTTCAGCTAGCACCTGCACCTCTAGTTTCATTACCTAAGCCACTACGGGCAACCCTACAGAAATATCAGCGCTAGCAGATGATGGTTGACTCCACACATCCTCAACCCACACCACTCTCTATCAGTTCTTCTGAAACTCCAAATTCAGCAGATACAATTCCAGGTATTCCTCTTGAGCCTAAGCTTGTTATGTTTTCTGATGATAATGTTCTTGTCCCTAACACCATTGTTGCAGCTAATCGACCTTGATCTTCCCATTGCACTTCGTAAGGGGAAGAGAGTATACAACCCATTGCATTTCACACCATCTTTCCTGCAGTGCCTTATCACCCTCCTACCGTGCTTTTCTTTCTTCCCTGGATTTTGTGTCTATACCTAGAAAAGTTACTGAGGCTCTCTCCAAACCTGAGTGGAAAACAGCCATGCAAGATGAGATGGATGCTTTGGTTACCCAGGAATGTATTCACAGTGAAGTATGGGACCAATGGCAAGATAGAGAAGTACAATGCAAGGTTGGTAGCAAAAGGGTATACTCAGACCTATGGTGTTGATTATCTGGAAACCTTTGCACCAGTAGCTAAGATGAGTTCAACTCATATCCTTTTATCTCCAGCAGCCACCTATTCATGGCCCTTGTTCCAGCTTGATGTCAAAAATGCCTTCCTCAATGGTGATTTACAGGAGGAGGTATATATGGACATTCCAACAGGCTTTTATGAAAATGTTGGTAAAAGAAAAGTGTTCAGACTCAGAAAATCTCTGTATGGACTGAAATAGTTACCTAGAGCTTGGTTTGATAGGTTTAGAGGGGCACTCATCCGCTTTGGATACACACAGACACAGTCTGATCACACCCTCTTTGTGAAGAGGAGAGATGCTCTGGTGTCAATTCTGATTGTGTATGTGGATGATATAGTGGTGACAAGAAATGATCTGGAGGAGATTGATGATCTCAAAAAATCATTGCAGCAAGAATTTGAGATCAAAGATCTTGGTAATCTCAAATACTTCTTGGGGATTGAAGTTGCAAGATCCAAGCATGGGATCTTCATTTCACAGAGAAAGTATGTACTTGACCTACTGCGAGAGACTAGGAAGTTGGGGACCAAACCAGCAGACACTCCTATTGATCCAAATCACAGAACTAATAGTCTGGATGGTGAGTTGGTAAAGGATGTGGGGAGATATCAAAGAATGGTGGCCGACTGTTGTATTTGTGTATAA